AGGTTTTTGGCAGGAACCCAGGAATGAAATCTACATTTGCACACTCCTGTGGGAACTGAGAGAAACCCCAGCCCTGCCAAACTCTGTGGCTTTATTTTGATGGATGAAACAGCTTTAGATAGCTCACTGTACATGGCTGAAGGCTTGGGAGAAATGTRCAGCTTCCACATACCCAAATTCATGAGCAGTTTGCCAGAAGGCTGCCACAAATACTTGCCAGAAGTGGTGCACATTAGGAAAGTATTTCCATAGAATCGAAGAGAAGTAAAGGATGAGACAGACTTGGAAGTCAGTTGTTCATCTGCTAGCTACAAAACAATAAATGTTTGTATCTCCTGTTCCTAAAGACACTGAAGGTCTGTGATTCCACACCTCTCCCATCGGTTCATCCCACAATTTTACTAGGCTTACTCCCACAATTTCTTTCTTAAATGTCCAACTTCAGTGTTTTTAACCACAATTCCTTCTCTAGCCCTAACTTCAAGGAAGAAGAGATTTGAATMTTTTTTTCTTCATAGTACCTGTATTTGCATTTGATTGAACCCTTCTTCCCTTCCATCTTTCTGCAGTCTGTGCCACTCCAGGTTATTCAACCCCAGTTTTGAGCTTTCTCACTGCTCTGGGTGTTCAGAGGTGGACGAGGCACTGGAGGCAAGTGGGGATTGCTCCATGTATTCTGTAGGGCAGAACATCCCGAGGGCACCACCATTCCCTGCCTCAATGTCCCTCATGCAGTCCCAGACAGCATCACTGGGCTCTGGCTCTCTCTCACACAGCCCCATGCAGGCTCTGAGACAGACCCTCCTTCCCCCTTGTCAGTGTTACTGTGTTTTCTCTTAATTAGTATAACCTGCACTGAGTCTTTAAGTTATCCTGAGAGTCATTTTTAATCAACATAAATGAGAGAAACCCTCAAAGGTTGCAGCAGGTATTTTAACACCATTTCATACTGGTAAAATAATAAATTTAAAAGGGCTCAAGAGCTCCAAGAGGCAAAAGGAATTGTGACTGCTCCCATGATAAATGGAAAGTTTAAGAGAATGAGAACGAAACATGTTTCATCCTCAATCCATATTCATTATTTAAAAGCACACAGGACTGAGAAAACATGACCTGGATTCTGTACTGATGAAAAAATGCCATTTAAAAAAGAAACTAAAGCAATACTACATTTCCTATTCCAGAGCAGTAAGTAAATTGCTTATAGTATATTTAGAGTTGGAATTATGCACAATGAACCATTTACTAATCTATCATCTTTCCATCCACAAATTAACCACAGATTACAGAACAGTCTGAGCTGAAGGATCATCAGTTCAACTTCATATTCTAAGGACCAATCCAGAAATATTCAAAGGGTTTTCATAACGTATTTCAGTTTTGAGCTTTCATGCAARCTGTTCCCTGCACCTGCTGTCACCAGTGGTTAATATTTGACATTCTGTAGCTTTCTCATCTACTTCACATGCTTTTAATATTTATATTCTCTGATCAGGCAGATTCCAAATCTTCCATAGAACTACCAAAATATCTTCACAACAGCCAAAGGTGGATGAAATCTTTACCATATCTAAGGGGAAATAAACATTTGTACAACAGCTGATGACTGACAAGTGTGCCAGTGCTGGTTTACTCCCTCTGCAGATACATGAGAGCAAAAATACTCACAGGAAATAAAAATAAAAAAAAATAAAATAAAAAAATTTAAAAAACCAAAAAAAAAACCACATTTGAAGTTGGGGTACAACATCAGCATAGGACAAAAACTCAACCTGCATCCAAACTGTGACTAAAATGTGTGTACACCAGGCCCAAGGAGCCCACCAAGGAGCTATGGGGGGCACAGAAACGCTGTTTTCCCTTTGTTGATTTGCAGGAAGTTTTCCTCCAGGCCATGGGCAGGTACAGGGAAGGTTTGCATCCCAATGAAGCACTTTGCAGAAATGAAGGCTGGCAGGCAGTCAGTTGTTCGTGAAAAKGTGAGATTCAGGTAAATCCTGTGGTTCCACATGGATTCCAGGACACGTGGACCMTGCTGTGGCAATCACCTTCCATTCCATTCCATCAGAACAAGCACTGCCAGAGGCAGCTCAGATGCACAACAAGCCCTCACAGCTAATGAGTCCCTGTCTGTCTGTGTTTAAGTGCTGCCTTCCTCCTCACAAACACCAGAGCAGCACTGCCTGCTTCCAGACCCCTATTAAAAGCAGGGGTCTTTTTATCCCTCTTCAGCAAAATGATGCATTTCAGTGCTCTTTCCTAGCAAAACCCCAATTACCATATTGCAGACTCAAGTTAAATATTAACAGGTAAAACKGTCCCTAAACCTGCTTAACTCTGGGTTCACATCTAAAGGGTTGGGAGCACAGCTGAGAGCACACTAATTGCTGACAAATGGCATCTTACACCAGCTCTATTAGGTACTCATGGACATCATTTAATCGCCCTTGGAAGATGTTTAAGCAAAARGACACCTCTCTGGTGCTTGAGGTAGGACTCAAGCCATTATTGTTGTCCACTTGGCAGTTAAAAAATGACAGGAGCTATTAATCATCCTTCAAGATAAGCCTGAGTTATGCATGTATGAGTGTAGCAGAACAGCACTGCAGCCTGCTATTTATGAAGGTTTGGTTGTTATGGGCTTTTTCATTAAAAAGTCACTGAGTTGGTCAAAGGCCTGTTCTAACTGGCATTACTAAAGAAGAACATTAAGTATGTGACCAGTTCAAAATGGTAAACGGAATTAGCAACCAGTGGGTCAGCACTGATTCATCAGGAACCAGGCTCAATTCCATCTCTGTTACTCACCACTTTTGGGGGCAGACAGACTTTTGAAAATGATGAAACACAATTACAGTCATCCCTCTCATCTAGATCTGCCGATTCCCTTCTCAGATCACTCTGTTTCTGATGATGAAACTGYTTGGGCCTATCCAGTAGCTGCAGCTGCACTGTCCAGGTCTGACCAGGGATCCTAAAGAAGTAGCTCAAGTGCAATTCTAAATCGCTTTTGAAAATGGCTCTCCAGGACATTTGGAAACAAAGGGCTTTATGTTATTTGACTTCAGTTTGAAGGAACTTTGAAAGTTCAGAGTGTTTCACATCTCAGTTGCTCGGATGAGGACACAGTATTCACTGTGTACGCTACACAGCGTAGCTCCTTTCAGGTGAAAGAGGGGGAAGAGACAAGAAAACTGAGCCCAAATCAGAAAAGTGGCAGGGAAATACAACACTCTGTTTTATACCTCCATTTAGAATAGGCTTTACTAATTTCAAAAACAGCTCTGCTGAGAAGTGTAGGGCTGAGTTTAGTCCATAGGACAACGAAGTTGTAGTGAGCTGCAGAATTCACCTGTGCTCAGCAATATGAACAGCTGACCTCAACCAACCATCACAGCTGTCCCCGTCACCCCTCCTGCACCCACAAGGGTTTGGGAAGGAGGCCTTTTTGGCAGATAGGAGGCCTTTTTGGCAGACAGGAGGTCTCTTTGGGAGACAGGAGGTCTCTTTGGGAGACAGGGGGTCTCTTTAGCAGACAGGGGGTCTCTTTGGCACACAGGGGGTCCCTTTGGCAGAAAGGGGGTCTCTTTGGCAGACAGGGGGTCCCTTTGGCAGACAGGGGGGTCCCTTTGGCAGAAAGGGGGTCTCTTTGGCGGACAGGGGGTCTCTCTGGCAGACAGGGGGGTCTCTTTAGCAGACAGGGGGTCTCTTTGGCAGACAGGGGGTCCCTTTGGCAGACAGGGGGTCTCTTTGGCACACAGGGGGTCTCTTTAGCAGACAGGGGGTCTCTTTATCTGCGATCACCCCCAATCCCCCTCTCTGAGCTCTCCTTTCCCTCTCCGCTGAGTCGCCGCTGTCCCGCTCTCTCCACGCGAGGGCGCTGCAGCCCCGCCCGCTCTCCCCGGGCCCGTCCCGCCCGCCCCAGCGCGGATTTTTTTTCGGGTGGCGCTGCCTTCTCTCCCTTTTCACACACAAATAAACCTGGCAGCTCATTCGGCACCCACAGCGTGCTGGGAGCGTCTGGAAATGAAGCTGCGGTACCCACCAGAAGTGGAACAATCGCGAGGAGCAGGAGAGTCGGAGCACGGCTGGGTTCGGTGAGCGAGCCCGGCACACATCTCACACTACAAGCACTCAAAACCTCGGTTTCTGAATAGCGCCTTTAGGACACACAAAACAGCCCACTGCTACATCGGTTTAAAGCCAAAAGCACCATCTCAAGCAGCGTTCCTTAAAGCAGCAGCTTTAGTCCTGCTCCTTCACTTGATTAAACGGTGCGACTGCACAAGTCAATGTTTCCCAGGCGGTAGGGATAATTCATCAGTGCACCCTACAGAAAAGCTATTCATCAGCCCAGGATAAATAAATTCCCACCGATTCCTCTATGCGTTGTTCAGGTAGTTACATCTGTTACCTTAATCCAAATATAAATCCACTTGAAATTGTAAATTGAATCATAAATTAGGTCAGACTTTAAAGGTAATGATTAATTAGCTTCAACAAYGCAGTTTGCTTATCACTTTATCTCYACAGTCAGGTCCAAGGTTTGTGAGAATGATCTCAGCCCTGCAGCTCTTTCCTTTAGCACCTCTGGTAGCACTGGAGATGGATCAAGTCTTTTATTGCTGCAGCTCCTCTGCCTGTGTGGCTTAGAAGAGATGAGTGTATCTAATGAACCGTGCATGCACACAAGAATAATTAGCTTTTGCCCTTTTTTAAAAATTATTTTCACCTTAGAGATTTGGTTCTGCCCACTCAGTGACCCTCAAACATACAGGTGAGCATGCAGAAAGGTTACCATTCCAATGTGGTGCAAAAGCCCCAGATATTCTGTCAGGATTTCTAGCTCAGTATCCATGGAATGTCTCCTCGCTCCTGCTCACACTGGGGCCCAGGACAGATGAGGTTACAGAAATCACAAATGCAACAAACAGCTTAACAATACCCACCTTACTCCTGCAAACAGATAAGGATGTCACAACAAACAGAAACCACAAATATACAAAGAGACCCCAGAATTTTATTTAAAGAAACATGTTCAAATGCAGCATTGAAAACAGAGAGAGTGGAATGCCAACAGTCAGAGAACTTAATGCTGAGTTATGTTTTCTTTGACAAACTAGCACCATTGAATCACAAGCCACAAACTAATTTATTTCTAGAGGTTAAAAAACCTCCACCATTATAAAATTTCTATGAGTTCTATTAAAAATYGGTTCTCAATTTACTAGTCCTACAGAGATGAAAGCAGTCTGAAGTACAAGTTTCCATATCTACTCACTGTCCAAATTACCCATAAAAGACAGTTTATTCTTAAGTCTAAACATCCTGATCAAGGRAAAAAAATGTCTAAAAAGTGACCTCCACAAGTCTTTACAAACTAAACAAGTAAGAAAGATCTACTGTGTTACAAATATACACAGTACAGTATGTACAAGTCTGGTCTTACAAAAGAAGAGTTCCTAGTCCATAAAAATACTAACTTAACTACAAAATTTTCTCAGTATTTAGTCAGGCTATCTCAAGCAGTCACCATAGCAAATTCCTAAAACACTGATTCGTTCCATAGCACAACAGCTTGAACACGTTCACAGTGGGAAAGAGCCCAAMACTTCACCATAAAACTGATTTCTACCCCTAATTTCCCGCTCAGGTTTAGTGGTGCTGTTAGTGTTTGCTACCTACTTTAACGTCACAAGACCTTTATGTATTTCTAGACCGTGTCTGAACTATTCAAAGTGCTGAAAGTGCGATCAAAGAGCAGAGTTTTGTATCCATTTTCCAGTACACCCCTGGAAACAACAGCCCAGGAGTTCTAGGTCTGTGAGGCCCAAAAGGCACACGCTCATTTGTACATGCTCAGGGAAGGATTCACACACACACACACACACACACACACACATTTGGCTTCAAGGACCCACTCTACGACATTAAAGGCTTCCTCTGAGTAAGGAAATTCAAAAATTCCTTACAAATGCCTTGATGCAGATGCCTGGAATTCACAATGACCCTGACACGAACTGCTTAAAATGATGGTGGTGAAGAAAAAAATAGTTTTGGCTTTAAACTTATGAAATCCAAGTATTGCTCTGGAACAGAGAAACACAAAGTCTATGCTCTCACTATCAAGCAAGGGCTGGGTTACATTCATCCACATGATTTATCACAAGAGTTACCAGCATTTGTGAGCACACACACACACACACACACACACAGAACCCTTGGCATTTGTTCTTCTACTGAAGGCCATCTGCAGCCTGAATGAAAATAAAACTATTTGAAGAATGTTTCAAGCAATACCTTCCTGTACTTACAGGTACAAGAAGTAACAAAACTGAACTGCACCTCTGGCTGACACAATTTAACACTGCCTCCTCTCCTCTCCCCTGCTCTACAGAGCTCTCCTATGACACGCATCATAGTAGCTGGTGCTGTTAAAAATCAAGAACATATCCCTCTTGACAAAGCTGACAAATTTCTCTAGCGGGCACATTGGCTTGCTGGAACGTTTATAGTGATCCCTGCAAAAGGAGGTCTGGAATGTGACATCAGCACCRTTGTACAGGATGCGGATAAAATGTTCTTTGGGCCTCTTCCCGTCCTGCCACAGCTCAAAAACTAATCTGGCAGCAAATCTAGGAAATCTGGCCTCTGTAATGCCCAAGGCACTSAGAACAGGTGACAAGGTGACATCATGTGCAGAGTAGAGAACAAACACTTCTTCCTTCTTGCCTTCTGCAATACGCTGCAGCCGATTGACAGTCTGGTTGAGGAGAGGGTGAGTGGCCAACAGTGCGTACAAGAAGTAAAGTTTCTTCTCCTGTCTCTCTCTCTCATCCTCCAGCTGGTGTCTCTTGATCACTTTAAAGTGTTCCATATCAATGCAGCCAGTTTTGGTGCACGGAAATGAGACGTTGTGGCAGAAATAGCACAAGAGGGAATCTATGGGGTTCGAGGCTCTCAGCTGCCTGGTGGGAATGCCCACAATCTTGGCCATATCCACGTAGATTTTCTCCAGGTCGTTGTTTTTCACCCGTAAGCTGTACTGCCTGCGCTGCTCCTCCTCCAGGTAGTGGTTTCTCATGGGGCAGTCGCAGCTCCCCGAGCAGAAAATGGTGCTCCACTGGTGYCTCAGGTTAATTTTCTTCCAGTCAAAATCTGGCAAAAAGGTGTAGAGCAGYGCCAGGGCGCTCTGCAGGGTTCGGCTCTTCCCTGTGGTCTCCAAGTAGAGCTGCTTGGCTGCCCAGTCAGCAGGGAGCAGTTTGTGTTTGTTGATGTAGATTTCTCGGAGCAGCTGTCCGTTTCGCAAATGTTGTACAACCCCTGAGTTTTGAAAGAAATTACAACATGTGATTAGAATCTTTGGGGTTTTGGAAAAAAAATGACAGCAGCTCTACTGATAAAAGAATGATTTGTTAAAAGGTTATGAACTTAGAAAACTGAATTTCACTTATGACTGACTATTGGGAAAACTGTCTGAAACATGAGAAACCTGCTATTTTTCAGTATCTCTCAGATTCTAGGAATTAACCTGAAATAGAAAAGAAGTTGGTTCTGTAAGATTTGTTTTAAACCTTAGTGGTTTAATATAACTTCCTTGGAGTCATACACAGACTGAGGAGTACACAAGGGTAGCAGAGCAATTGTGTCACCACAATTGACACAAACTGGTGGAAAGGTGCTCTGACTTTAACAAAGAGATGCCAAGATTGAGCTGTGTCTAACAGAACTGCAGGAAAAAGCACAGCTCCTACAACTGCTGCCACTYTGACAGCACAGTCTGATTCTTTATCCATATCCCAGCACAGCCTAGGGTCGGACCAACATGGTGAGCTGCCATTAAAAAGCATTTATTTCAATATACAGAGAAATAGAAGATCCCTTTTCAGGCAGACTGTGTTTAATGGAGCAGAGAACGAGACAGAGCTGTTGTGGGACTCACCTGTCTGTGTGAGCTCTCCCATTTCACACAGGGAATGACTGGGGAAGCGAGGCAGGCTGCTCAGGGAACCATCCATTTGGGCTGCAGACCCTTTGGACATGTGCTTAATGAAGGCTTCAAGCTGAGGATGAGAAGGTTTCCTAGAGAGGTGAAAAACCAAAATGWGAAAACTTCCGAAAGCGTATGGGAAAGCAGCTCAAGAGAGTCAAGCATTCCAAGTATGTCAGCTCAGAAATTTCATGGTGTGAGGTTATTTCCCATGGAAACAACATCTGCTCTTACTCAGGACTTCTGCAAGTATGGAAAAGAAATCTAACTACTCCCTATCTACCAAAGAACTACAGGCAAACAGATGTCATGTCAAAATTATGGTACCTTTCAGTAAGTAATATAGAACAATTTCTGGGGGGTGCTTTCAATTCAGTCACTAATATTATTATGAATTAAATTTTTTAAGAGATAAATTAATCCTTTTAAAAAACCTCTAAACCTCTCTCCAGTTTCTGAAGTACCATTGCACTTTAACAGCACAGCCAAAGGCAGTAACAGCCTAAAGGTGCTCAAATAACCAGTATKTCGAGTGGATGATCTTTGAAGGAATTCCCAGATTCTGTAATGTACAATGTTGATGACAATCTCAGCTGTTATTTCCACTTCCTTCAGCCTTACAGCTGAACAGCACGGGCAGTCCCGATCACAGGGTACTGGAAAGTAGCACCCAGTGACCCCATTCAAAATGGAATAATTGGTTTGGGGACTGAACTTTCATCCAGGAAGAAAGAGGCCAACACGGACACAGGTTAAGATACCCCCACTATACAAGAGATGACTGCAGCTGGAAAAGAGATRCTCACAAAAATGTCTGAGTTACCTCACTGAGACAGAGCTCAAGCCAGGGAAAGAATGCTTAGATCTCCCAAACTGAGAAATTCCAAATACACCATGGACTCAGCTCACTGCGGTACTGATGTGCAGAAAACTACAGGTACAAAAAATCTCCCCCCAAAAAAAAATCCCAAAGGGAACGGACCCTTTAAAAAATGAATCTGAGATYGCTTTCCTAGAGCAGAAATGCATTACATGAGTGGGGATTTCTTTGCTAAATGTCACACAGTTACCAAATGTCACACAGTCACCTCTCTAATTTTATGCAGAACTAAATCAGAAACTGTTTGGCAATTCAACTCTGCCCCAGATGGTTCTTGTCTTAATAGGATGTTCAGCTTGAATACAGTTAATATATTCTCATGTTGCATAAAAAAAAATAAAAAATATAAAAAATAAATTTTGTCAGGAATCTTTTACAGAAGTCTGGGATTTGCATTTACTGCTAATATTTATTTGGAATGCTAAACTATTTTTWATAGTAAAACCTCAGGTCTTAAAAAGAAACTCGAGTTTCAGAACCCACCAGAGGGAGTAGTAACACCATAAAGTAGGAATGAGTGTCTGGAATCAAAGTTTACTGGGACAAAGACATCCCTGCTAATACTGAGGAACTCTCATATATGAGAAGACCTCTTGCAGAGTTATGCTCACAGCACCCATAGACAGGAGGGCTCACAAGAATCAGTGTCTGTCAACAGAAAGGTAGCTCACATCATTTTATAAAACTTGAATTTTCCAGTATTTAATTTACCTTCAGGGAGAAAAAAAAATCGTGGCAGGAAAATTTTACGATTATGCCACAACTGACAGTAAGAAAAAAAAAGCAAAATGGGACAAAAAGCATAATGAGATCAAAAATCAGACTAWTTTTTTTCATTTTTACTTCAAATTGAAGGAAAACAGCCAAGTTATGACATTCTAAATCTACAGCTTCTTCTGTACATTGTAATTTTAAGAGGGCAGATGAAGATTAGTATTTGCAAAGCAGAGATACATAAACCAGGCTTTGTTCCTTTCTCAAGCAGTAGAGGCTTCCTGTTGTACATTACAAACTCACTCCAGTTCCAGAAGAAAATTTCCAATAGAACATTTTGTTCATTGTACTATTTTCACAGCACAGCAGTGAAATCTAAAAATGGAAGAATTAGGTTGAGAAAATTAAATTACACCCATTAGCAAATGGCTTTTTAAGCTTATTACAGAGGTAGCAGGCCAAACCTCYAATTTTCTAAATTTTGCACCTTACAAAACTCTACACATGAATAAACYGTCAATCCAAATTTTCCTTAAACTCTGTTCACTTAATTAACAAGTTCTGCACATAAATGTGGAAGAAAATGAAAATTATCCATTCTGCTGCTTTTGCTGCTTTGCTTACAAAAGCCKGAAAGAATTCTAACAGAATCAAACCTGTGCTGATAAAACTGCCAGCAATCACTCGTGGGAAGAAAGAAAAGAAAGAAGAAAAGTATTTATCTGTACTATGTAAAAGGATTTTTCTGAAAAAAAATGGCAGGCAAGATAAAATTACAGAAGGGCTGATAATTGATGAATTTCTATTCCAGTGTATTAATACAGTGTGTTAATAACATGGATATGGAGTTACTTGTATCTTTAATTTATGCTGCATTTAAAGTGAGCACAAGGTAAGCACAAGCCTGCAGAAGTGCATTGTGAATTATGACTGTTGGACACTTTGYGAATGGAAATTCAAAGTTTCCTTCGTGGCAAATACACATCCCTGTACAASTGGGCAAATAAACAGCCATTTTTGTCAGCAGCAGGGTTTCCAGCAGCACTGGGGCTCCCAGCTGACAAAGCATCCCCCTCCCGCCCCAAGACTTGGCTTTTATTGGGAATGTGAATCCTCCTGTTGAATTGGCCAATTTACAGATGCTGCAGGAGATGGAGTATCCAGGCAACACRGCTCAGGCTGCTGGGGCTGCCCGAGCAGGAAGCCAAGGAAATTGCTCAGTTCTACAGCTGAAAAGACTGAATTATCCTCCAAATTTTATTTCCATAAAAGTAATCAGAGAATACAAACGGGCTGAAGAGATATCCTTCTGTAATTTTCCTGGCTTTACAATGGCAAGCCATCATATTTGCAAAAGGYATTAGCACAAAAAATATTTCAAATTTTGTCAGAAAATGGAGCAGCTTTTCACATAAACCCACTAACAATAGCCACACTTTCTAATTTTACCAATTGTTACTGTTATTTAAAATCTGTTAATTTGCCTTTCAATGATTTTATTTGCGCAAAATAGAATAAAATTTATCCGTAACAAAACTGAAGATGTTTCCCTTCCCTCAAGTAATTAATCAGCCAATCTTTTTGTTATTTACAAACTAAACACTGGGATAATAGAACCCAGATTTAATCCTCTGGTTCTCATACATTAGAATTAAAATGGACCAACATTTATATCCTTAATCARCACTTAAATATCTTATTTGCAAAGGTCTTAAAGTGCTTTAATGCTGAAATATCACCTCTTTATTGCTACACTGTAACCAGTGTACATGGAAAGAAATACTGCACAGCTATTTGAACTGCATTATGTATTTCTGCCAGGAACAGAGCTGACACCCCTCAATAACATTTCCTTTTGCCCGGAGGAGTTGATACAAAAATGCATGAGAGGAGCAGGCTTCTCACAAGGAGCTGCAGACCCCTGAGTGCATCACTCGGTGAATAAATGTGACCACACCAGGTTTCAGACACACAAACATGACCTTTCTGTAATCATACAACACAAGGCTCTCCCTGCAAACTGTACCAAAAGCAAGTCCCTTTCTCTTTACTTAAAATGCAAAAAAAAAATCATTTTGTAACTTAAAGCAAAAATAACATGTGTTTTCTGTGAAGTTCAAGTAGGCAAAAAAAAAAGTGTGAGATCAAAGGACTACACTGCTTCCTTTTTAGAAGGGAAATGAATGGGAAGAGCCACTAAACCCAACAATAGATCACTTTAATCTACAGAAGAGATCCTAAGGCTGTAGTAGCACTGTGGGGATTATTGATTCATAAAGGTCTGGCAGCTTTTACATTTTTATAACAAACTCCACAGTGCTCCCCTGGCAGGGGCTGGGAGTGAGAGGATCTGTGAGTTCCCTTCAGCCCAAACCATCCCATGGCTCTGTAATTCCAATTCTTCACTGCCCYCTGAGTCTTTAAAGTCAGCAGAGGCCTCAGGAGACCTTTCCTCACCTGACTCTGGTCTGGATCCTCCTTTTRACCTCACTCCAAGTCAGATCCACACCTCCTTTAGCTCACAGTRTGATACTTGTCTCATCTCCCACCTCCCAGCTCATTTTTGTGGCAGTTTCAAAACATGTGCATATTGAACCTAAAATTTCAGTACTTGTTACTAAGCTTCTTATGATTAACATCAACACCTCTCAAAATGCCTTTGAGTATRTGCTAATTAATCCAGTTTACTACCAAATTATAGCAGTCTTCTGAAATCATTTCAGCATCTTCCAAAAAGCATTTCTTCCTTCTCTCACAAATAAACTCAGGGAAGAAACACTGCATGGTTTTTTGTTTTTTTTTTTACTTTTGACACTATAAATGTGAGCTACATAAGGAAAAAAAWAGTGGGATTAATTTATTTCTCCCATAAGCAAACACTACAATGAAAGGATTTTTGTAACATCATTCAAGTCATTTTCCTGAGGAAAAAAGTATGTATTATTCGGTTCCCTTTGGGAATTTGCATGTGGAACAATAAAAATGATAATAATAATATTAATTGAAGTTTTAGATGGAAGAAGTCTCCAAAGCATTTAATCCATTTGCTCATATTCATTCCACACTTATATGTCACAATCCATAATTCACAAAACCGAAGCGTGACCTCAAGGCTATTTTGCATATCCATTAGGAGTCCATGGGGCTGTGGCATAATCTGCTTAATTAATGAATTCCATCAGCTGAATGCCAAGTCAAATAAAGAGCAGGCTGCACACGAGCAGCTCGCTTATCTGATGTTGTAAGTKCAGAAAGCTCAAAGCAGCCAGACTCCCCATCAGGCATCTCAACCCCASTGCACAGCACAGAAACCCCATTGCAGACCTGTCACACTCCCCAGATAAATCCATTTACAATCAAGCCTCACATTTACATCACAAAGGAACATAAGCCTGACAGCCAAACGCAGCAAATAGCTTCCTGATGCTGCAGTAATGAATGTTCCATTCAAACAATGGCCCAATTGGAGCTCTCCTCAGTAAGGTCAGCTCTGACACATCTGGATGCAGGGGTGCAGAGCCAGCCCCTTTAATCCTCCTGCTGCCCTGAACTCACAAGAGGAGATCCTATTTTACATAAGTTTTGTTGTTGAGGAGATGAGGTCTGCCAGTGGCTGTGGCTGCTCAGGGATGTGTCACTCACACACTGGGGCTGTAATGTTCCAGAAATCAGTGACAGCCATGGGCATCTCCCCCTCTGGCCCCTCAGAGCCTCACAGAGCCCTCTCAACTGCTCYACTTGGTCCTTCTGTGCCACAGCCACACCACCTCCTTGCTTTTTATGGATAGTTTTCCTGACTCCAGGGCCTTCACGTTGTAGTCCTTGCCTGAAACTGAAGTGGGAACAGCTATAAAAGCTTCCCTGACAAATACAAAACGGAGGTCTCCTGTGGCACACTAATACTGAGAAACACAGCTGCTCATCCAACACTGTCACTTGCAGTTAACATCTCTTCAATAAAGCTTTCTCACATACATTCTAACATGACAGATATTAAGAAAGATCAGAAGATCAGAGCCTTCAGGAACTCCAATAGAAATCTGGATCATATTTCTCCACTTAGTATTTCATGCTGAAAATAATCTCACCCCTTATAGGCAGGTCATTAAAAATGTTATCATAGCTATTAGCCAACAATTCACTTTCCATCTCGTTAGAACAATGAATTGCCCACTCAACTCTATGGCAGAGATAGCTGGAGTTGGGTCTCTTCTCTGCAATCTCAGTTCATTTCAGGAAAGCACTCAGTTTGTGGTGGGCACAGAATGCTTCTGGGGTTAGAAACCTCTTGAGGAAATCCAACTCCTCTGAGAGAATGTTGGACAGAGCAACACTGAATGACACCCAACACTGCTCAGGGACAGCAGCATGAACGGGGAGATTTGCCAGAATTTTGCTAACATATATTGGTATTTTCCTTTTAACTGTGAGTTTTCAGTAGGATCACTGATAAATCTTCTGTTGGAAAAATCATCATCATCCTACTTAAAAGTACTTGCACRTAATCAAACAAGCCATGGCAAAGGTTGGGAAATTACATCATCACTGATTTTTTCTATTGCTGGGCATTAGAATTCATCTGTATCAGTGAGTAAAATCGAAATAACAAAAAAAACAAAGGTTCTGCCACAAAGAAAAGAAGCAATTCTGATCATATCTGCAGCCCAAAGTGATTCAGGTGGGAAAACAGATATCAGCAACCTACAAAGACATGAAGCACTATACTAAAACGGAAAGGAAAATGATGTTTCTATGGCAGTTAGACACAAATAATTTACATGTGACAGTTCTAAACACTGAGTGGTAACTAAAGGAAAAGAGTAGTTTTCAAGTAGCAAACAGTAGCACTTTCTGTTAACTTGTATTTTAACAGTTAAATGTAAAACTCCTTTTTTTTCTAGAACTTTGACACAAATCAGTGATTTAAGGAAAAACTCTGATGGCCTATATTTCTAAAGAGCAAAAGAAAAAATAATAATATAAAACACAAATATCCATTTTGTTATGGTAGTGCTGAACTGCCTGAAAGCTTTTTGTATTCAGGTGGAGGGAAGCATGCTGAGCTGAAATGGGAGAGACCATCTCAAAAAATGCACTTCCATTTTGAAAAAGCAGAAACACTTCTAAGAGGACTGGCAACCTAAATATCTAACTAAAGAGCTTTTGTTTTTCAAAGAAATAGGAAGAACTTTCTCTGGTCTGAACTGGTAACATGTAACAGCTCGTTTCAAAGAAAATACTGTGCACCACTAATACAGGGATWGTTTTTTTAAAACAATGATCAGAAGTCACAATGTACTTCAGGCTGCACAAATTGTTTCCTGAAAAGGAAAAAAAATATTCTCAAACAAAATACAGGGGTTAGTAGAGACAAACACCCAGCATTTTACCTGCTGGGCACCAACATGCAGTCGATGTCAGGTCTCTTTGTCTTGGGAATGGCATACAGAGGATACCGATCACCGTGTCGAATCAGCACATGAACTGACACCAGCTTAAAATAATGAGGGGCATGACCTAAAGTGAAAAAAGCGAAAATGAGAAACAAAAAAGAGAGAGAAAAAAATAACTGAGAAAAAAAAAAAGTTACCTGCACAAACTTTCTTTAATAAAAAAAAAGCAGGTATAATTAGCCTGATAGCTTTGGTATTGCAATGAAAGAAAACATCCCTAAACATATTACAGTTTACCAACCCAAGAAAGATTTCTTTTCAGACTGCAAGACATGTTACACAGGACTGGGGTTCTCAGCACATCTCCACAGCACACCTGGAGTCCACCAACCACACAGAACATAATTCAAGCACTGAACTCTGTCAACACAGTAAGGTTATTTCATTTTTATTTTCCAGCCCCATCATAATGATGGATTTTGCAGCATGTCTAATCTGGATCTTTCTGACATACTCATTTGTATTTTTATCTGATAAGCATTAGCAGGACATGCTAATGAAGAACTTCATTCAGCCTCGCTGCAGCCACTGTGGGGTAAAGAATGCAAACATGCCTTCTAGCTGACCATGTCTAATGGCTTGGAATTCCAAAATTAATTACTTCTGTGGGGTTTTTCTTCCAGAATTCCAAGTCAACTGTTGGAAATACAGCTGACTTGCAACAAGAATTACAATTCAAATATGAARTATCTGTACCTCTCCCAGTCCTTTCAGTTTTAGACCTACAGCTCACCATTGGCTAGAGAAAAAGCATTTCCAGAAATTAAGACAATGGAGAGGATACAAAGGGAAGGAAAGAGCARCAGCATATTTTGAATTATTTAATTTAATTCAGCAACCTGCTGGCATTTGCTGCACCTTCTCCAAGCAGCAATGAGCTGACAATGCACAGAGTTACCATTTCCAGGGACAGCGCATGGAAATGAGCAGATCAGGCAAGGTTTGCCCTCCCAAAGCTCACCTTCCATGCTGCGTTCAGCGATGCTGGGAATGTTGCAGTAAACCTGAGCTTCATAAAYGGGGTCTATGGCAGGAGGCTCCGTCAGCAAATCAGGCATTATTCTCTTGCGGCTCTTGGGATTCAGCCCATCTTCCCTGACAGGGTTCACTGGGATTAAATGCACTGAAAGATASAAAACAGACACTTTATATTGCTGCTCCCTTAATGTCACACACTGCAGAGCTGGCTCAAGAACTCAAGAGGTCGTGTAACTTTGTTCAGCTTGGACACAYGAGTGTTTCAGCAGACAGAGGAAAACAAACCCCAACAGCAAAAACTCTGGYGCTAAAATTCGGCTGGGAAAGTTAGGAGCAAAATAAAGATGGTCATTTTTTTCTCAAAGGCAGTTTTAGCTACAAAAAGCCTGAACAGATCACACTTTTGCCCTGTGACTATTAACAGCAGAGGCCAAACAGATGCACACATCAGCTTCTTAAAAATCAAGTGCTTGTGATTCCTGAGGCCAAATATCTTGTTTGCAGAAAGCAAGGCTCATTTCTAATCAAACTAGTTGAATGAATACCTTAACACTGCCAGACCAATTTAAGAATAGGGAAAAGTGCTAAATCTTAAAGAGAAGCACCTACTCTCTTTAAAATATTAAAAATAAAATTGAATAGTAAGAATAACCTTATATACTAAGAATAAAATTGAATATTCAAAATAATACCTGCAGGACTACCAAAATATATGTTTGCGGTTTAAAAAGCAACTGAAAGAACACTTTTAAATGAGACTCTTTAGTCAGCACAGCAGCTAGGGGTACAATTTAAGAATATTTTGTGGACTGGAAATGGACTCAGAGATTAGAAATAACAATAGTTCATGTAAGAGCTGGTAAATATTATCATTATAGCACAGTGACTATGACTGGCTTATACTAGGGAAGGAAAAAGGACACACGATAAGCAGTATTTGCTTTTGACACACTGAAATAACACATATTGGGTGAAAGTAATAATGGCAAAATCAATCAAACTACCAGCGCAAACASCTGGGTTTCTATTTAATGTAGTTAAATAGAAAAGGAAATAACATGAACTGGGCACCAGCCTGTGCAGGCTCCTGGAAATCTCCACCAAGAATATGTATATGAAAATAATGAGTATTTCAGAGTTGAGGGAATGGGATGGGAGGGATGAGGGAGAATGATGACACAAGACCAAGGAGAGATGAATCCCAGCTGGAGATGCCTTCTCTTTGCTCAGGTCACCCTGGAGAGCCCACCCAGCCAGACTGGTCCTTTCTGCCCCCAGTTAGAGCTCCTCAGGAGCTGGAACATTCCTGCAGTTTCAGAGCTTTGGGATGAGGATCCCAAGGCACACAGCCTCTCTGTATTTCTGCCTGCTCAAACAACAGAGGTAATTTCCACGCTCTCAGTTGCTTCTCAATTATTTTCTCATCCCCTGCCATTCCGTGGGCATTGTCAGTGCCTCACATATTTATGATGTTCTCTTCTTTCTCCCTCCCCTCTCATTTCAAGCCCTTGCCCTCTATGCTGTCCCCATCTATCCCATTCCTTGCTCTCAACTCCAGCTCTGCACACCTCATCCTCTCCAGCTCCCTGTGCACAGAAGACTCCATTGTTCCTTCAGTTTTGTACTCCCTGCACCACACAGAGCACTTATCTAAAGCTCTTTGAAGAGCTGTCTCTCTGTATATATCCAAGTATTTCCCTGCTGCAAGTCCTCCTCCGCAGTGCCAATCCCACCTCTGTCTCCCTCGTGGCTTTTTGGGTCTGTTTGTAAWGAGCAAACCTACAACCAGCATTGCACTGATACAGCTCATGGGAGCAAAGGGAAAAAAATTAATAAAAAGAAGTTTTAAAAAGCCTCTCGCATGAAGCTGAAATTCATCTTTTTTTTTTCCATACTCTGTTCTGCTCTTCCAGCTGTAAATCATTACAAGGTCAGAATTCTGCTACACAGTTTGCACATTGTTTTTTATGGCTTAGCACTACTTTATATGACTTTATTAGTTCACAGTAACGTGCACTCGCCTGAAACAGAAGTCTGCCATTGTGCACACAGTCATACTCAAATCCRTGATTAAGAGAGGTTTTGAACAGGATTTTTCCACTGCTGCGCCTTTCAAAGCTCATCTTTTATTGTGACAGGAGTACAACAATGTAAACCAGAAATGGAACAGATGATTTTGATGTGCATTTACCACAGCCAGAGCAGTTAATAAAATAGATCTGAAACATATTTCATCATCTAGCTGGAAGCTTTGCCAACACTGAAACTATAAAGAATATGGACATATTATTACAGAGGTAGCTTGACAACTGAAAGGGAAAGAGAAGATATTTTATTTCCCAATATTCATAAACTTATTTTTATAACTACACAAGCTACATAAAATAAACTTTGCAACAATAATTCTGAAGAAGTTATAGTGAGAAAAAAAGTAGAACGTTACAGAAAAAGAGACCTCAATGCMACTCTTCCCAGTGTCCCACCAAGCTTAAATTGTCAGAAACATGAAGYAAAACTACAGCAATTGCTGCCCTGTGAGACAGAGAGGCACTGGTCACACAGTATTACACCTCAATACYGCTGTAGAATCACTCCTTCGAGAATTCTTGCAGCTCTAAATTAAGATTATTTTTTTAAGTCAACAGAATTCAGGAGAAATAAAATCCAAATTCTGATGCTARGTTTAATTAAACCAAAATCCTCCAAGACCCTTTATTTTAAAMCACATCACAGAACCTGACAACAGCATTCTAAAATGAAGCCAATAGCTTGACTAAGAAATGTCTTTAAGAACAARCCCAGTGGCATCTCAAACATATGAGTGTGGTTTTATTTCCAGTGTACATTAAAGGACATATTTAAAGGGCAAAAAATTAATTGTCTGACTTCCATACACCCCCAAGTTCCTGAATGCCACAAAATCTATAAAAACACCCCATATATTAGACAAGTAGTTTCCAAGCAAGAGAGACAATCATTCAGACGTGCTTTCAGTGGAATGATCGTAACAATTCCTACATAGCAACTAATGCCCTCTGGAAGAATGTCAAGTTTACCAAATCAGCTATTGTGCTCAGAAGCCCAAGCACAGAGCCAGATATGCATTAGGGCTACAAAACTGACATGAATCTGACAGAATTCAGTACAGCAGAAAACCAAACACAAAGCAAAGCACAATTCTTGTAGAAAGAACACCAAATTAAACGCTGAATCACTATCAATTTCTTCCTTTTGCAGTTCTATTTTCAGTTTGAGAAACAGAAGGTAGCAGCATTGTTTACCAAGAAGAAACACATTTATCCATGAAAAAGAATCAACAACATTTACCTAAAATCAGAAAGATGGGCAATAAAACCAGTTTCCATTGCTGTTTGTCCTTGTAGCTCCAACCAGCCTGAGAAGCAGCAGCACAAGCACCCATCTTAGTCTCGATTTTCTGACTAAACAGAGACCTGAAGTTTTCATCTTTTATARCACAGAAGGTTCTTTCAGCCCCATGCAAACACACTATTTAAAACAGTCAAACAGAAATGCAGCCACACGGCAGAAATGAAAAACAGCAGCCCCACTGTAGAGAACCTTATGCTGAGGGGTGAAGGAAAGCAAACGCGCATGTCAGAGAGCACAAAAAGTTATTTATCCACTTCTACTTTTACCCCCACCCCGTCCTAACCCTACCAGGGCACTAACAAGGCWGCCTAGCACCGAGCAGAACACTCAGGCTTCTGAAAGTCCAGTGATGAATGTGGACTTCACAGATTGATAGAATCATTAAGGCTGGAWAAGATTTGCAAGATCCAGCTGTTACCCCAGCTCTACCATCTTCACCATGAAACCTGTCCTCAAATGCCACATCCACATGTTTTTTTCTCATATCCAATCTACTTGAGGCAATTTCCTCTTGACCTGTTGCTTGATCCTGGGAGAAGTGACTGATCCCCTCCAGATAAAACCTCCTTTCGGGTGATTGTAGAGAGTGATAAAGTCCCTCTGAGCCTCCTTTGGCCCAGCTTAAAAACCCCCAGCTCCCAGCTGTTCTTCTAGTTGCTCTACCCCTGAAAAAAATGGAAGCTAGAAAGGAATAGTCTATGGAGGAACAACCCAAAAAAGGCAGGAATTCTTGAAAACAACTGAGATGGGGAAAAAAAGGCAAAGAAAATCTGGAAGAAGTACTTGAGGCACATGTAGGATGAAGAGCACATTGTGCAACAACTGAAGGTGCGCTGCCAGTGRGGACAAGAAGCAGCCAGAGCACGGCACTGCCAGAGCTCTGACATCCTGCAGCCCTGGGCAGGATCCCTGCAAACCCCCAGCTCTGGTCCCAGAAAACCCCCAGGTGTGATTCCTGCAAAACCCCTGGGCAGGATCCCTCCAAAACCCCGGGAATGATGCCTGCAAACCCCTGGGAATGTTCTCGGCAAACCCCTGGAAGTGATCCCTGCAAACCTCTGGAAATGATCCCTACAAACCCCCGGGAATGATCCCTACAAACCCTCGGGAATGATCCCTACAAAC